ATTTTATTTCAAGACCAGTCAAGACCACAACTGTGGAAATATCACTAAATAGACAGATTATTGTTCAATTTATTTAACATTCTTGCTTTCATTGGATTTAAAATGTAGGTAGGTAATGATTCAAATCCAAACTTGACTTGTTGCTATTTATGTATCTTTGTTACCGGCTGTCACCCATCCCCACTGTCTTCACTCACACACAACACTCCAGGAAAGTGAGCAGTGATTCTCTAGGAGCAGTAAAAGATGTCTTCAAAATTTTAAGTAAAAAAATTGGCTACATTATTCATAAATAATATTATTGTAAAACAACAACAACCAGGAGAAAGCATACAGCAACTTGTTCATTCAGCAGTGCTTCACTTTCAGAGACAATGGGGACAACTTTAAACTTTTACCGTCACTGTTAAACTTCCTCTGTAGCAAAATTCTTTCTTCTGACCTCACACAAACATTTTGTCAATATTAGCTCTACATATTAAGTTAGCTACAGTGGGGAGAAAAAGTATTTTGTCAGCACCAATAGTTCAAGTTCTCCCACCTAAAACAATGAGAGAGGCCTGTGATTGATATCACAGTTAGACCCCTAATTATGAGAGACAAAATACCCCCCCCCCCCCACCAACTGTACATGTGTACAGAATACTCCATCTTTTAGGACACATTTTTTCTGGTCTTGGTCTTGTCTCGGTCTCGCCCTCCCTTGGTCTTGGTCTCCACTTGGTTCAAACCCTAAAAGTCTTGGTCTTGCCTCGGTCTCGAGACATTGTGGTCTTGGTCTTGACTTGGTCTCGGGTTAGGTGGTCTTGACTACAACACTAAACTCATCATGAAAGAAGATGTTTATGCACTCTAAAAAAACAAAGTGTTGAATTTATTCAACAAAGTCATGTCAACTGGCTCCAGTAAGTCTAGTGGAGTAAACTGAGTAAAGAATATACATATATTGATCAATTTATTCAACCTGGCTAGTGGAACCAGTTTGGTTCAGTAAATTCAACAGTTTATTTCTTAGAGAGTGTGTAAAAGTACTTTTGCTTTTTACTTTCCCAATTTTTGTGAACAGTTTTATGACTTTTACATGTATACTTTTCTCTTCAGTGAAATTTATTTTTACCAAAGTCATTTTCTGTTCATGTAGTTTTGCTTTTTCTTAGTTATTTTTTTCAAGTATTTTATAGACCTCTGTCTGAAACATAGGCCCAAAGAAGCCAACAGTGTTTCTGGGTGTTGATGATATCTGGCTTCGTTTTTGCATGATATACGTAGATGTTCATGAAGTGTTTTGCTAACAGACAGGCAGGGTTGACAGCACCTGTTAGCTCAGTATTTTTAAGTAACAGTGTCTGCTGTATGTAGTGCTCAGTGTGTATGGTGGGGATGACTCTCAGCTACAACCACACCCAATTGTAGCGCAACATGTGTAAGTCTGAGCCAATCATGTTTCATACTGTCGGTTAGCTTGGGCAGCTATCTTGAATTGAATTCACTCCAAAGGTTTATCAGTTGTAGATGTTTAATTGAAAAAAAAACTTTGAGAGTTTTATTAGAATCTATCCACTTATTTAGTTAAAGGTACAAACACAGTCTCAGTCCTGCAGAACAGGAATTGTCTCTTTTTTTGCTCTCAGTCTTCTACTGTCAGTGTAGCTCAGCTGTCTGTTTATTCAGTCAGCTGCCAGGCTGCTCAAACAAGACTGACGAGGCGAGCAGATGAATAGAAAGAGTAAGCCGGTGCATAATTGAACCACTCCCCATTTTTTGTTAGCGGTAGCCACCGTGAAGCAAGCAGAGCATGGCTAACAGTTCGACCCTGCAACTATCTTAACTTAGTCATCAGGCGCCTTTTAATGTAGTGGCCCAGAAGGGTCAATGAAACGCAAAAGTCACAATATAACACAGCAACAAAAGACACAATGGAAGTAATGCTTTAGCGCCTCTTTAAGGTTATAATGTGGCTATGGCACTAATCTAACTATATATTTTAAATTAAAAAATAAATTATTTAGCTATCTTAAATGATTAATGTTATATAACATAGAAGCACCGTATTATCCTTGTGTAACTCCTAAAATTCACAGTAAAGGTGTTCATCTTTATGTGTATATCTACATTTACTTAACAATATTAATATTTTACTTACTTTTCCACTCTCTCCCGACCGTAGTCCTTCATCTTTCTGCTTCCATGACGCGGCGCCTTATGCTACCACCAACTGGCCTCTGTTTTAGTAAAACTTTGGTTGAACCTTTTTGTTTTTGTGCAGTGTTGTGGCTTTTTGTTAATGTTGACCCTTCTGATCCACCGTATCTTAGTGATTTTTTTTTTCTAAAGAGGGTAACAACTCGGTTTCTATTTTTTTTCAGAACACAAGGTTCTCAATGGAGTGTTAGTATTGCTTGATTGCTTCATGTACTAAGTTTAAATCATTAACGACTGTAGTGACCAATTACTACTAATTACATACACTGTGTAAAGAGATACATCAACATTTATTGTCACTGCCTGAAATTAAATCAGACTAAACCTTTAGGTTAGTTAAGATTCTGATTTTTTTTTTACTAAAAAGCCTGAATAATGAGATCATTTTTATGCTTTCCAGGCACAAGTTAGCATCTAATCTTTAAAATGCATTTGATAACAAACTGTATGACCAACAAATTGGCTTTCACAAGCTTTTCAGTAGTTTGCTGGAATTTTCTCCTATCCCCACAGGACTGGTTTGTGGGCTACAAACCTTTTCAGCTCTGCCCACAAATTTTCTTTGGGAATAAGATCAACGTTACTCTCCTTAACTTGGCTCTGTGCTAAGGGTCATAGTCTATTTGAAGACCAATTTCAGCCCAAGCATTATCTTCCTGTCTGATTTCTTGACATGTTGCGACAACATTTCTACCACCCCCTGTACTTCACAGTTAGGATGGTGCTCTCAGGCTTGGAAACTAATGCCAAACTGTTCAGTTTTCATTAGATCACAGGATGTCTCCAAAAAAAAGGCCTTTGTCCCTGTTAATTTGCAAACTGTAAACTGTCTTCATGGTACTTTTTGAGTAATGGCATCTTCCTTGCTCATTGGCCTTTAGGACTCATTTCACCACAAATAATTACAGACATCTACTGTTTTCTCTTAGATTAGGCCCCTAACGGGAACCATTAAAACATGTTCATTTCTGCAGTGAAGACTTTTTCCTCATGAAAATTTAATGAACTTTATTCATTTTCTTCTGCAGAAATGGTCCCTATTTGCACTCAGTCTGGTTTCTGCACTCCTGACAGCAGCTTCAACCATTGGGCTCTTCGTCTCCTTGGTTAGGGCCATCGTTAATGGTGGTCGAAGCCTCGTGACTCACTGCCGCTTCCCTGATGCCATTGGCCACTCTAACGTTGTCTACCAATGTCCCTTTGACCCCACACGCATCTATGTAAGTGTCTACAATGAATGTTAAGATGAACTTGTTGTCCACTTGATTATTGTTTCAGCAGTGTAGCGAAAATGTTTGTTTTGGTTTGTTCGAATGGTTTTACTTGTTTTACAGTTCTCAATTTGTGTATCATTGTAGTACCTGTTGTGAATCATCGGAACATTGTTTCTTTTGATTAGCTTTCTGAGTGTAAAATCCTTGTTAAAAATTTCCACTAACACTTTATTGTTATGGCTCACAGTTCTTATTTTTAGCAAATTTTTATTTCATGTTAAATTTAAATGTGAAATGCTATATGTAAATGTAAAATCCTGGATCTAATTGTAAAAATAGTTACAGATAAATGCTAAAGCTTACATTTAAGAATGGATTGCACTCTTTGCTGTTGGTGTGCAGTGCAGGTTTTGTTATGATGTCATCATCCTGCGACAAACGCAAACACTAATGCTGCTAACGCTGTTAAAGCAGTGTCACTGACGGATCTAGTCCAGAACCACAATCTGTACCTTCAGCTTATTTGCGCATATTCTAAAAAGAACTGCCGGGAGGACTTTGAGTTTAGCATGTAGCATTTCGCTAGACAGCTTGATGACAGAATGGATTATATTTCAGTTGTTCGTCACCCGCATTGTTTCATAGAAAAGGCAACGTTTGCAACAGATGTGGATTTTTATTCCAGGAAAATAAAAAGATGAGATTAATTATTTAATTAACACCGTCTAGAAAAATAAGTCCAAATTTTGATATAAATATGTCCACATCGTAAATCTATATTTAATTAATATCAGAATGCATATGATATTAAATCTGTCTACAGAAAATATGTTATTTAGCACACCTTTAAAATAAGTTCTGAAAATAATTTTCAGTGGTTTTTCCTAAATTGAGTGCATTATCAGTAATCCAGAATTATATTTTTTTCGCATGTGCACAAGAAATTTATATCTTTTAGCGCATGCACAAATGAGCTGACACTGTTAACACTGTTAATACTGCCAACGCTGTTAATGCTGCTAACGGTGCTAACTTCCCCCAACAAGATATCAAACTAGCCAACGTGGCAAATGTCTGAGCTGCACTTCAAACTGTCAGACCACAGGTACCGTCCACATTGTTTTCATTGAACTTATTTTGAATTAAAATTTTAAATACCATCTTTAATCAGCATTAGCTTTTGCTTTTGATGATGATGACGACACAACCAAAGCCGCGCATCAATGGTAACGACTGTTTTCCATTCTGAAATTCTTATTATTTAGCTGTAATATCTACGATGATTTTTTTACATTTAGATTTACACATTAATATTTAATATTTACATATAAAATTGAACATTTAAAGTTAGCGTTTAGTAAAAATTAGCTCAATTGAAAGAGCACTTATCTAAATAACAATAAAGTGTTAATATAATTTTTTAAGTAGGATTTTACAGTGAGCTAAATAATAAATTGTTAGTGACATTTAACATTTTATTTTACAACTGATGCCCAATAGTCAAATAGATATTTCAGTCATTTTCAAGCATATATTTTAACAAAACAAAACAAAAAAATGTTCTCAATATGATGATCTTGTGAGTTTCCATCCAACAGGACAGATGAGCCAAAAATACGTCCACAGCAAAGACTAAAAATTTGGCAATAAGTAATTCTTTATTTAGACTTCCAAAGTAATTTTCAAGTGGGAATAGAGACCACTATCACATTATAATCTGTCTGCCAGAATGACCGTTAAAATAAAGTTGACAACATTTTAATTTTAAATAATGGCGTTTAAATTAACTGTTGTGTTAACACTGTATTAGTTTAGCAAAATCTGCTTTCTAATCTGTTCAGGTTAGAGAGAGAGTCCAAGAGAACCACTTTCTAAAATGGATTTTGTCATCTGAAAATGACTCCAGTCCTCAAAATTTCACAGTGATTCTTTAAAGTATGATTGTCAAAACTATTGCAATGTGGTTTGTTTTGCATTTTACATCTATTTAGGTGGAAATATACAATTTTTGCCAGAAGTGACCAAAAGTTGCACAGGAAGTGCTACAGCCAGCTGTTGCTGCTACTGTTAGTTGCACTTGCAAACAGCACGTACACAAGATAATAATGAGATAACAATGGAATCTAAAATTAATGTAAGAATACTTAATTGAAATAATAGTTGGTCATAATATTTCCACAGAATCTTAATATTAAATGGCCAAAACCTCAATTTAAACAGAAAAAAAACAGGACTACCAGCAATACAAGCATCTCTGGAATAATGTGTTTGTGTGAGTGCAGTGGGTGTGGAAAAACGAGTTGGTGGTTTGATGTCGATCCTTGCTGTCACACTTCCTGTTTGACTGACCGGTGGTAGAAGTGCTGACCCGACCCTGTCAGGCTGTGTCCGGATCCAGTGGGCTCCAGATGGACTGTCGGACCTGCTCCGCCTCAGAGCAGCAGCTCTGTGGCTTTTTAACATAGATTTGACAGTTTGTCTTAAGCTGGATTTAATCTTGGTACGAGTGGTTAATGGGGGAGCAGCTGTAGACACAGAATTTTTTAAGCTCTGTCAGATTTCATTAACGGCGTAAAGACAAAAGTAGGCAGATGTTTAATTACCAAAGCTATTATGCTTTCTTACTTAATTTAACTGTGATGCAGTTTGGCTGTGTCTCAATTCATGAACTGTCCTTTGGAGTGCTCAGTCCGGTTATGTCACTGCACCGCCCAAAGGTTATCCCGCTTCGTGGGTTTCTTGTCAAACTGCTGAAAAACTCCGAAAACAAAGGCTGCATCTGAGTATCCTTCACAGACGGCAATATCCCAGAATTCATTGTGCCATCAAGTTTTACAGAAAAAAAAGGGCAGAATTTGGATAGTTATCATATACTTTGTTGTTTAGCAACTCAGCTGATGATATTTATGCTGTGATTTGATGTTAATAAACCAAGTAGTGATACTTTTTCATTTATTTTACTAGCATAAATTGTACAAGCATAAGATAATACAATACACATTTTGAGCAGACCATTGCATAAACAGGAACAGTGAAAGCCACATGAGTAAAATTAAACAGAATATAAAATATTAAAAACATAAATAGCAACTTAAAAGAATGTTTCACAATACTATTATAAAGCCGTAGTGCAAATACTGAAACTAAACCCAAATTATTAATGTCTTTTGTGTATTTATATGTAACATTTTTTAAAAATGCCTTGAATTTCACAAGCTTATACCTCCCGTAAAAAGACATGTCACATGATCCAACACATTTTAAGTTTCAGGCATTTAAGGGTGATGGGATATAAAACGTATAGTGTGTGTGGTCACGCCAACATACGTCATCCAAAGACTGAACCGTCTCATTTAATCACTTTTATTCAGTCTACCCTGGCTTCAAAAGGCGTGGCCTCTGTGGGCCTCGGTCTATGTGGACTGCAACCCCTGAATTAAAACCCATTGTTTTTCCCAACACAGCATCACACTAAACATGTTTTTCAGACTGTTAAACCATAAATCTTTACAACTGAAAGATTTCTCTTGTGTGGTTAGTGACTGAGTCCTCAGATGTCCTCTCACTGATGCGTTGCCAATTAACTAAATTAGCTACAAAAAAATGCCCCTTCAGCTGTTTTTATTCCAACCACTTCTAGTGTTTTTTCAGAGGTTTTGCACATAAATTTTAAAATATCATTTCATTTCTAGAAAAAAATGTACATGTTTTTAGTTTAAACATTTATTGTGTGCTATTATGAATAAATTATGGGTTTAACACAATATTCCAACATTTTTGAAATTGGTTAATCTTGAGAAGCACAAAATATTTTGCTTTTAAGCGTGTTGATCTTTATGATTCAAGGTGCTTCTGGAAAGGTGGCCTTTGACGTTTGCAGCACTCTATGCTATATTATCAATATTATAATTATTATGTTTTTAGATTATATGTTGATATTCTGGTTTGAAAATTACAGACTAAAAGCCTTGTCATAGAAATACTGTTAAGTTTTTATTATTACGTGTGACCACTGTTTGTCACAATATCCTATTAGTATTATCAGAAAGTGAATAAATCTAAAGTTTAAATTTATGATTTCTTTGTAAATAAGGTTTTTTTAATGCAAGTTTAAGTTGTCAGAAAAACCAAAGCCACAAATGTATGGTGGAGTTCTGTTCTGATAACTGGTTTAAATGAATATTGACAAAATGAATTTATCTTTCAATTAAAAAAAAAATGAACTGGTTTAGTTAGACTGTGGTTTTTTTTCCCACATTGCACCACTGGATCAAAGACAAGAAGCCTGACTAGAAATGATTTAGCACTTTGTTGTTGTTGTTGTTGTTGTTGTTGTTGTTGTTGTTGTTGTTGTTGTTGTTGTTTTCTTATGACGTCGACTCCTTTAAAGTTCTGCTTACCTCATGCTGTCGTACAAAACTAAATCTGAGTTTGTCACTGTGAGATAGCTGCCACGCTAGTTCAACCACATGCAGATAAGCTGTCTAAACAATGAAGCAATAAACAAGCCTTACATGATTTTTTTTAAAAAAAATTTAATTTTTGGTTTAGGATGAAAACAAAACAAAACCTGGTTCCATGTCCAACATGACTGAGACTGCAGCCCTGCTGTTCAGAGCAGAGGGGGTCTTCACTTGGACCATCTCAGGCTGCTTTTTATCAGTAGAAACAAGTTGTGGACTTCAGTTTTTTAAACTCTTAGTTGCCTAGGAGAACAAATGGTTATGCAACAATTTCTTTCTGCATTTTCTGGAAATTTTAATTTTTTTTTCTTTTAAAAAAGCTCCAGTGTTGGAGTTCTAAATTTTTTATTCTCTTTGTAGTACACACTCTGCTCTATATTTTTGTTCACATGGCTTTATCTCTGCAAACTGCAATCCCTAGATTTAGCTGTATGATTTCTGCATTGTTGCACAACCAATCTGAGGGTGTAATCTATTTCATGTCATTATACAAACTGTACACCTATGTTAGACAGCTACAATGGTTTACAAATACTTTGCTCTCTATGCTGTTATTTCTCTTTTATTACTTAAAATTTAAATACATTTTTTGATTGATTCTAAGAAATGGACCTACACAAAATAACCATTATTATCTACCACTTGTTCCAGAGTTGGGTCGTGGGGTCTATCAGCATATATCTCTTCCAACACTTCTGGGAGGCTTCCAAAGACCAGCTGAGAGACAAAGCCTGTGCCCAAACTCTGGCCTATCCGGTCTTGGTGCACCAAGTCCTTTTGTTGACCACAAAAACAAACAAACAAAAAAAGTAGTGCTGGTCGTAGTGCCCAAGAAGTGCAGCTTAATAACCAATTATGTAAAGTTGCCTGGCAAATTAAAAAATAAATTAGCCAATCAGTGTCACAGAATTTTATGGTCTGAAAATATTACCCTAATTCCATTAGGTGTGAAAATGCATACACAGTTTCAGTTGAGTGTTTTGTGTAGGTTCATTACTCAAATAGAAAATCTATTTGAATTTCAGGTTGTAAGGAAACAAAATCGGAACAACTCCAAAAAGGGATGTATATCTCCACAACCCCTTGCCTCAGATTGTATTATGAATTGTTCAGATGGTATTTTTGCTAACTTCTGTCCTTATTTGTGTTTTCTAGAGCACCACTCTGATTCTTTGGGTGCCTCTGATTGTGACTTGTTTCATTCAGCTGGTGTTTTCTGCCCGCTGCTTTGCTGCCTGCATTTCTTTTCTGGGACTTCCTTGTTGCCCTACCAGGAGGCAGAGTCATTACATCAAAGCAGTGAGTCCTCTTTATGGGGTTTAAAAGTTGAAATCTTTTTACATGAATTCTCTTTGCTGAAGTACCTAACTCTCCTGTTGTTCTCGGGTCAAAATGACCCACAAGGTCTTTTTTTTCCCATTTTGACGTGAGAGCAACAGTAAGGTTAAAATAACTGAATGAAAACTTTCCTCTCTGTTTGTAGGTCAGTGTAGAAAGACCGATGAGAGAAGGTTCTCGTTCTCGCTACATCGAACCTCCAAGACGTGTCAGTGAACATATAAATGTCGAGGATGGATCTGTGAGTACCTACGTTGAACCAGCAAATCTTTATGCTGAACCTCCGAGAAGCTTCAACAGACATCCGAGACACAACACCGTATCTCCGAGTCTGCAGTACCCGCCTCCCCGACGGCCTCTGCCTCACAGACTTCAGAGTCTCCCTGCCTCAGAGAGACAGGCTCTCCGCCGTCCGGATGGAGACAGGCCAGACACTCGGAGGTCGGGAACAAGGGGGAGCAGTCGAAGGACACAAGAGCAACCCCAACGTTTGCAAAGGGGTACAGCGGAGAGGTCCAGCATCTGGATCTAGCCTTATTGAATACGAGCTAAAACGTTCTTGAAGAATTTAAATCATTGGATTTTTACTTGTTTGGACATAAACAATTTCAAAGCTGTACCCTCGGAGACTGGAGGTGCCAGAACTGACGTGTGACTTTCCTGAAGTTCCGACTGTTTGCACTGTGTGCCTGACTGTATTAGTGTGTTTTTGTATGAGCAAAGACAACTTGAGCTAAACCTTTTATACGCGAGGAAATGATGCCAGTTCTTAATGTAAAGGGTTTTTGACATTGTGAGAAGTAGTTTACATTTCTGTGAAAACGTTATGAAGAATTAATATCTTACCAGGGTGTAAGTCTGACCGAATAAACAAGCTAGCTGTTAGAAAACCACACAGCTTCCTGTGGTTTTAAAACTTTAATCACACAAATGCTGTTTTGTTGATCTTTTACACCGTTGTCAATTTAGTAATAAAAATAATTTTTATAGAAGTCTTTGAATGAGCTAATAACAGCAGCAACCCTTTTGGTGCAATCTGCCAATAAAGCTAGCAGGAATTAAAAATGTTTTTTTTCCAAATTAGCTACAAAATGGTAAACTGACAACAATTAAACGTTTAAATAGATTTGTACGAATTGTTGTGAAATTTTAAAGATTGGTTTTAAAATGGTAAAATTAGCTTTGGAAGGCATTATTTGTCAGTATGGTCTGAGCCGACCCTGATTCTTCCCTAATTGTGAACAACTCCACAGTCAGAGCGCTTCACGAAAAACATTTTTTAGGCCTTTTGTCTTTGTTGCAGGGAAATTCACCATAATGTAAAGAACTACAGTATTAAATAGCATTCACACAAAAAGCTCTGACATTTTTTAGATTGGAGCTGTTTTAAAGGCCCTGTCACACTATAATGTTTTACAAAACGTATACTGACTTATGAAAAGTTTGTTCTATTTTACACATATGTGATTTTATTATTAGCATGAAAGTGTATATATAGGTCCAAAAGAGGCTTGCAGTAGATTTTTTTTAATTAATAAGATGTCTAAAACCATAGTGTGGCAGGGCCTTCAGATCCAGTATGGTCGATCTAGAACAGAGAAGATATTATATCTGTATAACTTTTCCAAAGCATGCCAGTTTAAAGTGTCGCAAATATCCCACTACAATAATGTTTTTAGTATTTTCTACCACTGTTTAAATGCACTGTTGGTAATATTTTTAATGTTTTCTCTCTTTAAGTATTACTCCAGTTTTTTTGTGTGCACAACTAGCCTAAATAAAAAATATACCTAAAAGGCAGAGACTTAGTGGTTCACAAATTTATGAGCTAAACTTTGCTTAACTTCAAATATAATAAGTAGGTTAACCGTGACACGTGCTGCAAGTTTCACGTTTTTTTATTCAGCTGTGATCAGTAGTTCCACCGTTTCCTGGTGTGAAACGGTTTCATTTTTTTTTGTATGACGATGGGTATTTTTTTCAAAGTTTCATATTTATTTTTATGTAAATAAACATTTTATTAGTAATATTATTTAATATCTGTTTGTGGTTATTGTGTAAGTCTGGCAACCAGAAACTTCTTTATGTTAGTAGCAGCAGGTAGTGACCTGACAGGTACGACTGGTTGGAGTCAAATGTGTGTTAAAGGGACAGTTCAAACATTTTGAAGTGGAGTTTAGTGGGGAGAAATAAGTACAAATAAAATCTTACCTGGGGGTGCTGGAAGTCCTGTGGTGGCACACTGAAACTAGAAACCATGAAAAAACTCCAGAAACTTTATGATGCTGTTGTAGTAAAATAGAGACTTGACAATTTTTGGCAATATAAGGCTCTGTTTTCATGAGACTGATCTTGGGAAATGATGATAATAATAATAATAATAAGTAGTAAAATAGAGACTTGACAATTTTTGGCAA